AAAGTAGTGTTTTTTGTTTATTTTTGTGGTACTAGGAATTGAACTGAGGGCCTCTGCATTGAGCTACGTCATGAGCCCTTTAAGTGTTTTGTTTTTTTTTCCCAATTTTGCGACACGGTCTTGATAGCGCAGTTCATTTCCCAGGCTGAGCTCCAACTTTCCATCCTCCTGCCTCAGCCTCTCAGAGTGCTGGGGTTACAGGTGTGCGGCCACATCCAATTTAATTTTAAATTATAAATGAGTCTCCCTTCTTCACATTAAAATATGTGGTTGACAAATACCCAAAGAATAAAAGAAGTAAAACAGGAAATGAACAAAGGAATGAATGAAAGAAGGGATGAATGGCGGTGGGGGGGGGGGACTGAAGGTGTCGCCTTCTCGGAGGAAAAGATACAGAGGAGGCCAGGAGCTCAGGGCCTGTGCCTGGCGACCGCCCTGTCCCCACCCCAGCTCCTCCGTACAGTGTCTCTGAAGTCCAGAAAGTCCTGTCCAAAAGGGGTAACCGGCATGCAATCTGCAGCAACAGTAGTGGTTGACTGAGGGGATGGACTCAGACACAAGTTAATCTAGGCCAGAGTGCCTCCTCCCCAACACCTCCTTCTGACTCCACAAAAAGGAGTAACTCTCAGGGCTGCCGTGGACAGCTGTGCAGGCTGTGTACAGCACAACTGCAGGAGGCACCAATGCCACAAGCAGCCACGTGAGTGACGTTTCCTGAAATTGTGGGACGTGATGCACCTTTAAACCCTGTTTCTTCCTCCTCTGGGCTCAGGGGACTGATGCGTCATTACTAGTGAAAGGGCTGAGAGCAGGGCAACCTCCTAGCCACGCTGCTACCTGCTCCCCGCTTCTCCCCAGTCCCTGAGGTCACTTCCTGGGCTCCCTTCTAACTTGGGCTTGAGGTAGCTTAGTCAAATCTGGCTAATCACCAGACTTCAGAATCTAGAGCTTGCCATCTGATCATGGGTGCATCCCGTGACCTCTCTGGGTCTCAGTTTCCCTGTATGACAATTGGGTAAACCTATAGGCACCCCCACCCCCAAACCTCGCACAGGCAAGGCAAGCGTGAGGCAAGCACTCACCACTGGGCCTCACAGCCAGATCAGGAGCAATTCTCCCTCGCCTTCCTTGGCTGGAGAAGATCTACGGGGATGGGGATTGAAGGGCTGCATCCCGAGGGGAGCTGGCATTCTCTACATCTGGGCCCTCCATGCAGCTGCAGGTGCAGAGGAGCTGTGCATGGAGCCCCCGCAGACCCATCACGCACCCTAAGTGAGCCCCAAGCCCTGCCTGGGGATGGTGCATGGATGCTTAGGCCAGATGAGGGAGTGTCACATGCTAGGTTGAACCTGTCATGGGCTTTTCCTTTTCTTTCTCATTCATTTTTCACACCATTTTCATCCTGTTTGTTTGAGAAAGCATCTTGCTACATCTCCCAGGTTCACCTCAATCTCATGCTCCTCCTGTCTCAGCCTCCCAGAGTGCTGGGATCACAGATGTGCACCAGCAGGACACTTCCTGTCTTT